CTGCTGCTACTGCTACTACTAGTATTACAATCAGCACCTGCAGCGCGAAGAAGATGATGCCGCCGCGCATTGCACCCAATCTCATACAGGTAAACAGTGTCTTGCTATCCACCTGTTTGGTGCAAGCGTGCAGTTGGCCCAACTTTCAACCGACGCTGCAGGTATGTGAGCTGAAGCCTGACGTTCGGTGAGCAGAAGAGAACTTTTCGCAAACGGCTGCAGCAAAGATTGCTACCACCATGGAATGTCCTATTCACAATGACTGAAGTAAAGTACGAAAGGCACTTAAAACGGATCCCAATGGAGGGCACCCTGCGAATTGCGCCGGAGCGAGGGTTTTGCACTGCTGAGGCAACCGCAGGCTAAGATCATCCGTGTCACCGCGACAGCATCGATTTAGCTTGATTCGAGACAAAAGCTGGACTGAATAGTGGCTGGTGCATTCGAAGATCCGTTGACGTTGAATCTGTTGGAGGGTCAGTAGTGTTCCTTCCTTCAGCTGTTTTTGGACCTCACAGTTCCTGTAGTCAGCAAGCTGCAAGGCCTCCTGCTGTTACCGAGCTTGGCACTCGCAAGTTGAAGACGCCCCGCCTGCTAGTATCCAAATACCGAGCTGTTCTGCACAGATGCTGTTGCCGGAGCTCATGCTCTGAAATCATGAGCTGAGATCCTGCAAATTCACACTGACCTTGGCCTTGGCATGTCAGGGTGCTCACTCCCTCTTTGCGGGCGTTTTCATCCAGAAGATGCCCACAGACCTGTGGTGTTACCAGCAGGCTGTGCATAACCGGGGGTCTTAGGCGGCTTGCAGGCTCCAGGCTAGAAGTCACGCACTGTTTTCGCACAAGAGTCAGGATCCTAAATCCACCATCCAGAGTGTTGCCCCAGAACATGGAGGTCATCCATGATCTTCGACCCATGTACATCATCGACCTTGGCAGCTCCCAAGGAGGCGATGGTAGACTGGTACACGCAGCAATACGAGAAAGCATGGTCTGGCTTATTGAGCCATCTCATGGGCACTTTCTGTGGGGAAGAGAGGCGCAGGGAGGGTTCAAGGCTGCCGACTCTTGGAGTCGAGCACAGGCCGGTGAGTGTTTCATAGTTCGATGGAAAAGCTCAAATTGCCTGTGAAGGCAGCGCCGTATGGTTCGCGTCCATGCTGAAGCTCTTCGATATTCCGGGCAAGGCCATACCTAGAAGATTGTGAGGAAGATCTCAACTCCGACCACCGAGTTATCAAAACTGTCATGTTCACGGTCTTAACGTTTCCATAGCCCGACACCCGCGAGCGAACCTAGCCTTGTTGCAGCCATAGCGGTCATCATTTTTAGCTTGTACCTACATGCCGGTTACCACCGAAAGTATTGCTAGGATGACCATTGCATGTCATCACCACTGCACCTGCTTCCAATTGTCGGTTCTTGCTCCCGTTCTGTGGACTGGCAGTGATAGACCCATTGTTTCGCGGGCAGCCCTGTGATGATGGCTGTTGGTATGAGGTCATTTCCGTCGACTTGGCCCTGGAGCAGGCCTATTGGCCCGGTCCTCGTTCAGAATTGGTAGGCTAGAGCTCTTCTTCCCCATGGTCTTCCGCCAAACATAGCAACTGCAGCGTGGTAGTATTTACTTGAGCCACTTGACACCTTTGAACTTGTCTCGCCGGGGACGGGAGTAAGGCTGAGTAAGGTTAAGTAACACCAGATGAAAAAGGAAGTCCTCAACCCACAATTGCATGAACTGTTATCTGCTGAGATGTCGGATTCTATGCTTGCAGCATGGTGGCGGGGGTCATTGCATGACGTGTGTGAGGGCATTTGCAAGATCGTAGCCTTGTGCAACTTGCGATTCATCAGCCGCCCCGCAATCTCCGCCAGAGGCTCACGAAGCAGCGAGCGGAGGCTGCTGTGCAGCGGCTTAAGCTCGAGTCTTTCGTGGATTGGTCTGCTTCCCAGTGTGAGTTCGCTCGGAGCAGTATTCGGATTACTGGCTTCTTATTGGCGCACTCAACAGACTTATTAGTACTACTCCTGATCCTCCGCCTCCTCCTGCTGCTGCTGCTGCTGCTTACTACTACTACTACTACTACTACTACTACTACTACTGCTCCTACTACTACTACTACTACTACTACTACTACTACTAGTACCACCACCACCAGTGCTACTGCTGCTAGTGCTACTGGTACTGCTACTACTACTACTACTACTACTACTACTACTACTGCTACTGCTACTGCTACTACTACTACTACTACTACTACTACTACAACTACTGCTGCTGCAGCTGCTAGTACTACTTCTACTACTACTCCTACTCCTGCTGCTATTGCGGTAACTGCCACCACGACGACGACAACGTCATCGCCGAATACGACCGCCAGCATCGCGACCACAGCTACTATTGCTGCCGCTGCCGCTGCTGCTTCTTCTACAAGGGCAAGGACGACATTCGCTGCTCCTCTTTTACTGCACTCTGTACTCTGATCCAGAATGACGCAGCAGCGGCAGAAGCAGTAGTAGTAGTAGTAGTAGTAGTAGTAGTAGTAGTAGTAGCGGTAGCGGTAGCGGTAGCGGTAGCGGTAGCGGTAGCGGTAGCGGTAGCGGTAGCGGTAGCGGTAGTCGTAGTAGCAGTAGTAGTAGTAGTAGTAGTAGTAGTAGCAGTAGTGGTAGTGGTGTAGGAGGAGTAGCAGGGGGAGTTGGAGCAGTAATTAGGTGTCAGTAGGAGAAGTAGGAGAAGCAGGAGGAGGAGTGGGAGGAGTGGAGTAGGAGGAGTGGGAGGAGTGGGAGGAGTACGAGGACTAGGCGGAGTAGAAGGAGCAGGAGGAGTAGGAGGAGAACGAGGAGTAGGAGAAGTAGGAGGAGTAGGGGGAGTCGGAGGAGTAGGAGGTGTAGGAGGAGTAGAAGAAGTAGGAGGAGTAGTAGCAGCCGTAGCAGCAGCAGTAGCAGTAGTATCAGTGTAGTCGTCGTCATCGTAGTCATAGTAGCAGTCGTTGTCGCTGTGGTGGTGGTGGTGGTGGTAGTAGTAGTAGTAAGGGGAATGGTCGGGGTTTAGACTGTAGCACAAAAAAACCCTTAATTGAGGAAGATTGCTGACAAAAAGTTCTTTGTACTACAATAAGATGATTGAAACTTATGCAGGGCTACCTGTTGTCATTTCGAAATCTAGGTTGGGGGTGTTGGGCGTTCTGGCTTGAGTGCTGGTTCTAGGGTGTGACGGTTCAGGGTTTAGGATTTGGGGTTTGGGGACCTGCAGCCGTTCACTCTTTGCAGTTTCGAGTTTGGGCGGGTGTGTAGATTAGGATATTCGGTGCATTTCCGCGTTTCAGGGATGTGGAAATGCAGCAGAAGCATCAATTCAGCAGGGCAGACGCCCACAGTCGTCGCTTTAAGCTGCACGATGACATGTTGTTGTTGGGTTCTGAGGAGGCAGCAAGCAGCACACCTCAGAAAGCCCCAAGCTCACCCCCAAAAAGCTCTCAAGCCCTGTAAACAAGGCGCCTTTACAGGGTGCTTTTTTGGGGGCCCATAAAGGTCATACTAAAAAAGTTCTATACCACATAAGGACATAAGGGTTCGATTAAGGGTGCCTTTCAAGGGGTTCATACAAGTTTATTGTATAGGTTTTAGGGTAAGATCACGGGACATAAGTACTTATAAGTAGACGTACCTTATTTACAGCCCTAATAGCTGAATCCTTTATGCATCCCCTAAACCCTAAACACACACCCCAATAGATCCCTAAGGAACACTATTAGGGACCCTGTACTGTAAGTTGCTAAGTTCCATGAACTTCCAAGTGGTTATTCATGAGTTCTGTCTGGGGTTTCAGAGTCTTTGGGTGTTAAAGTGAAGGATTGTGGGTCTAGGGGTGTAGAGTAGGGTTCAAGGTTTAGGGTCTATAGGGGTGTAGAGTTAAGTGTCCAAGATCGACTAGCCTAAGTGTGAGCACGCAAGCGTTTGGGAGGGCAGCCTTTTTGTTGAGTTTGAGCAGTCCGATGTAAGGCCGCCCCACGTTTAGCTGGGCCCGATGAGCCAGCCGCAGCCTCACGCCAAGGGAGCTTCAGTCGAAGCTATGCAGTCTTGTTGCAGTGTGGTTCAGGAGGTTCCGGTTCTGACCGCACGGGTTTGTACACATGCTGCTGCTGCTGCTGCTGCTGGTGGTAGTTCTCGCACTGGTACTTGCCACTGTATCACCAATGCCATCAGTAGATGGCGCCACCACTACTAGTTCTTCTTCTACTCCTACTCACCCTCCTCCTCCTCCTCGTCCTACTCCTACTCCTACTCCTACTCCGACGACGATTATAACAACAACTACTACTACTACTACTACTACTATACTACTATTATAATGCTACTCTACTACTACTGCTGCTGCTGCTGCTGTTGCTGCTGCTGCTGCTGCTGGTACTACTAGTACTACTGCTACTACTACTACTACTACTACTACTACTACTACTACTACTACTACTGCTACTACTACTACTCCTACTGCTACTACTACTACTGCTGCTACTACTACTACCACCACTACCTACTACTAGGTCTTCTTCTACTAGTTCTGCTTCTACTACGACGACGGCGGCAGCGAAGACGACTACCACTACTCTTACTTGTGCTTCTACTTATCCTGCTATGCGACACCCCTCATGCTGTGGCTGCTACCGTTGACCACCCAACAAAAGACTGGACACCCAGGCCGCTGAAGCAGATCCAGTGGACGGCAACCATTGCCTGGTGCCCGACAGAGGCATGGAGCAACTCACACGTTCTTACGTCTAGGGGTCTGCGATACCAGCGCAAGTTAGGATGCATGACCCGAGTGAGGCTTGGTCAAGAATCTTAGGATTTGGGGACACCGGCTTTAGTGCTTGGGGGCGTTTTGAACATGCGGAAGCACTTCGACTTCTCCGGCCGCTGTGGTCATCACGTTCTGCAGCTTTATGAATCGCAGTAGAGCAAAGCTATGACCCTTGAAGAACTCAACCCTAAATCCTAAACCCGAACCTAGACCCGAACCGTAAACCCTGAACCCTGAAGGAGACCCTCCCGAAGCCTGAGTTTGTTTTGGAGGCCGCACCAAGCCTGCTGGCCCTTGGGAGCAGCGCACACTCGGCGGCTTCGGCCATCGGGGGTGCCTCTGCTCCCTGCTCAGCTCCGGGAATCCTTAGTTGTAGGCTGGACTTTATGGTTTACTTCTAGGGTTTAGGGATCAGGAGGTGTGAGATTCCGCTGTGAGCGGTTTTGGGGTTTGGAATCATGGTGAAGGCAGCAAATGAAACATAGAGTATGTAGAGGTTTGCTATTCGTAGTAAGATTGCACGGCACCTCTGTGCATTGCAAGTCACTTCATGCTGAGTCCAAAGCCTAGAACACGAAAGCACCGATAACATCCTGAATCGTAAAGCCCCGTAACCTCACCCCGCCCCTGCAACCATATACTGAAGCCCTGACCCGAAGACCCCAAAACCCTAAAATCCTAAAAGCCTAAGCAATGCGCATAGCCACAGACCTCCTTGTACTCGAGGGTTCCGATGCCACCCTGGAATTCGTGTCCTTCGATGCTGGCAGGACTGAGAATGCTCGATGCTGTCATCAAAATTGCTGCCATACTGGTGCTGCTACTGCTATAGCTGTGGCAGTAGCAGTGGTGGTAGTGGTGGTAGTGGTAGTCGTCGTCGTCGTCGTCGTAGTAGTAGAAGTAGTAGTAGTAGTAGTAGTAGTAGCAGCAGAAGCAGAAGCAGTAGCAGTAGCAGTAGCAGTAGCAGTAGCACCACCTCTTCAAGGCCGACCCACATCTTCAGCCGCTCCAGGGCCT